TTTACGGCAACATGCAGATCTTCTGATAAATGAACCATTAGTGATGACAAGGCTATAAATTATCTCATTAGTTCAAATTCTATTACAGTTCCCGTAATGCCACTTTAAAATGGTGCATGGACAACATTCACTTTGAAAGTGACTACCAAAGCCAGCTTTTGCAAATTCAGCCCCTGAACAGAAGATATTATCACCACCTCCTGAGTCAGACACAGATTCTTTTTCACACAGCAGCAAAAAGCATTTTCAAGCACTTCAGTTAGAGAACATGTAAAGGCACCTGCCTAGGGATATTTATGCTTCTTGGGAGAGCTCCTCCCAAAATTATTTTGGCAATTATTTCTGTTGGCATGCTTGAACAACTACCTGAACTCTCAAACTAGAAATCAAGCTCAGGAAGAGCAATCCTTGAGCACAACAGCAGACGCAGCTGAAAGAAGATAGGTTCACAAGCCTCAGTCTGATGCACACTATCATGAGACCATGCAATAAGCAGCATCTGGAAGAAACTGTGGAAATGAAATCTGAACAGTAATTATCAGCATTTTACCAATGGTATTAGGTACCACATTCTCTAAGTAATGCAAATAACAGGCACTGCCAGCTAAAAAAATCCCAGCTCTAATTCTGGTCGAAATTGAAGTGTAGATAGACACACTTATAAGCTTAGAGAGGAGGATGCTTCTACTGGTACCCACTTCTGTCCTCTGAGGTTACATAAAATACACTTCAGGAAGGGTAACCCTCAGGACATGTGAGGTCTCCTGGCAGAGCTGTAAGAAAGCTGAAACAAAGTTGAAAAACTAACACATTATCAGATCAGAAAAAGATAAAGTGAAGCTATCAAAAAAAAGTCATTAAAAAAATTCAATTCCTTTTTCTAACCAGTAAGAAAAAAACTGACCTCTGTCATCATGAAAAACATGTCCTCCTGTATCCACAGACATGCAATATGCTGCTGCCAAAGCTTTCCACACACAAAACCTGCTTGAAGTTTTTACATCTGTGAGTAGTTTCACTTACCATACAGAATACAGCATTCTGGAAATGCTACAGTGACGTAGTCTTACTGTAAGCTAAAACAACATATTCTCCTCAAATATTTTTGGTAGCTTCCCTTGCCCTTCTTCATCTTCCATTTCAACGTTAAGCTGATGCATGATAGGGCTCAGAAGCATTCCAGTTTTTAAAGTTCCATCAGCATAACATATAACCTTCACAAAGGATAAAGCAGTAGGAAGGAAAAGGGTAATTATTCACCCAAAAGAAGGAGTGAAACAGTGCTGGCAGAGAATTCTGCAGTGAGAGCAACCAGCTTCAAAGGGATTTCTGTTTGGAAAAGGCAGAAAAAAGTAATCAGGGCTCAAAAGAGGGGAAGGAGGACAGTAGAATGTTTTCCTCTACCAGACTCTACACCACAAGACCAACGTTACATTGTTGGAATTTCAACTGCTACTTTCAACTACTTTCAACTTAGGATCCAAGAAAGTCAAATCTTCACCATTTCAACTACTGACAATGGAAAACTGAACGTATCCAGTCAATCTCCCACATTCACTTCAGTTTTTGAAATCAAAGCATGACATAAAAAGAGATGTGCTTTCCTATTCTATTCTTTACCAGGATTAAACTTAACTAGTGATACAAAGACATGAGATGCTGTGCTAATACTGGCAGTGACTGCATCACCAAAACAGCAGTCACAGAAGCTTTTACAGGCATCACACACATCATCTTCCTGCTGGAGTTACAGAACAAGCAGATGCAGCTGCAAGAGTCTGGTCTTTCTTCTCCACTACTTCTCTCCCGTTCTCCTAGTTCCAAAAACAGCCAGTAGATGACCTCTGAACTGCAACTCCAAGAAACAGAACTGTGTCCTTTCCTATACTGAAGTTGAGGCTTTTAACTTGGCCAAAAATAAAATGGTGCCAGCTATTATCTTTGCACTATAAGAGAAGGTAGTTACTTCATCAGAAAAATGTTACTTTTTTGGCATGCCTTCTGAGTTCCACCTAATACCTCACTGCTGTACTAGGACACTTCCAGTTGTTTAATTTCCCAAGCAGAATAAATACAAGAAAGCAAAACGAACGGTAGCTTCAATTTCCAATTTCCTGTAATTCTGGTCTACTACTGCAAGAACGTAAAACTCTTTACACACAGCAGTTCTGTCCTCCTGCACAGCATGCTGCGTGTTCTCCGAAATACTTTAATTCCTGTTGCAAATAGAGAAGCCTATTTTAACACTACAACTACGCAGCTTTTAGCTTTCCACACATGCAGGCACCGAGACACGCTCTGTCCAACAGCCACACCGCGCGGCCGGCTGCGGGCCACCTCCGGCTCCTAACCAACGTTCAGTGACAACGGCGGCCCCAGCGAACTCGGCGTTCCTCCCAGCCCACCTGTTAACGCCGCTGAGGCTCACCCTCCAGCTCTCCTCTTTCGATACCAGCGCCTCGGCCGCGAGCTCGGCTCGCGACGAGCCCGCGCCCCCCTCGCCGCCCCCAGCCCCGCCGCCGCCGGAGGCAGCACCGCCCCTCCCTGCCCGCTCCGCGCTCGGCAGCGCCGCCCAGAGGCGGCACCGCGCGTCCTGCCCCGCCGGCCCACCCGCCCCGCCGCGGCCGCCGCAGCCGCCGAGGAGCGCAGCCGCGCTTCTCCGCTACCCCCGGCGTAGCGGCTCGAGGGCAGGATGTGGGCGTCCATCCCCCTTCGCTTCCTCGTCCCCTCCGCCCTCTCCCCTCGCGGTGTGAAGGGCACTCGTTCGCCCTCGCCCCGCCGCGGCCCGAAGGCGCCGCGCTCACCTTGGGGAAGGTGCCCTCCCGGCGGGGGCTTTTGGGGTGGTCGAAGTGTCCCCGGTCCAGCATCAGATAGAGGGAGAAGATCACCACGCAGAACACCGCGCTGCCCAAAACCGTGAATTGCCGGCTCAGCTTCATCGCGCCGCGCTCCCGCCGCCCCGCACGGTGCAGCCGCGGGAAAGTTCTGCCCCCGCGCCGGGTGGCGGCGGCACCGCGGCAACGGCGCTCCTCCGGCGGGGCAGCCCCGAGCGCTCTCCGGAGAAGTGCGAGAAGTCGCCCCCCGCGTCAGACACAGAGCACCGCCCGGAGCCCCGCGCCGCGGCCGGAGGCGAGCCGGCAGTTTCCGGCAGCGGATCAGGTTCGGGCTGCACCCGGCAGGGAAGTGGCGGCGGCACGCCGCGGGCCGAGCGAGCGCCGCTGCTCCCCGCTTCCTTTCCTCCTTCTCCTCCGGCCGCTCCGCTCCTCCTCGCCACCGGCAAGCGGCGCCGGAGTCTGGCACCTCCTCCCCCGCCCCGCGGCCGGAGTGCTGCTGCTGCCGCCGCCGAAGCACCGCGGGCTGCCGCCGCCGCGCACCCGCTCCGCGCCGAAAGGAACCCCCGCCCGCCAGCACCCGACCCCGCCGCCGCCGGAGCGCCGCGCTCCGCCCCCGCGCGGGTGGGCGGTGCCGGGAGCAGGTCACGGGAGCGGCACCGCCCCCGCTCCCCGCCCCGCGGATCGGTTGGGTCGGAACGGACCGCGCCGCCCCGGGGCCCAGGGGGCGAGCGGCGGCCTCGGGGGTGGAGCTGCTGTTCCTCCGCCGCGCGGGCACCGGTCCCACGCTGTCCGCGCCCCACCCGCTGAGGGCAGCGGTGCGGAAGACCGGAGCAGGGGGCCGTCCCCGGGGCGCCGCCTGGAGAGGACCGGGGAAGAGAGTTTTTCGACCGAAGCTGTTGTCGACGGCAGCCCGGTGCTCGGCAGAGACTTGTCAGAACGAGGGCTGCGCGCTGTACTGACGCTGTTCCTCCCGTATAGTGTTACGCAGACGAATGGGATCGCCCCAAGTTCCAGATTGAGTCGATTTTTTCCACATTCGAACAAGCTTCAGCGGATGCACCTCGTGGCTCAGCGGTGGGGGCCCCAGCGCAGAGGGTGCCTGTCCTCCACCGCGGCCATGTTTAGTTCCTAATTTTGACTGATGTGATTTTGTGAGATTTGAAGGCTTCCGTGCCCAGCGCCTCTGTCGGAATAACGCTTTGGGGAACTAGTTGGGACACGCTGCCTGTTAATGAGAACCACGCCAGTGCTGAAAGCTCTAGCAATGCATGTGTGAGCTCTTGCCAAGCAGCTCTGATATCCCCATGATCTGAAGTCTGAAAGCCACTGGCGTTTCTTTATTATTTTTCCACAAAAAATCCCACTAAAGATTTTAAAACTGTAGAAGATCTGACCAATAACATTAAGTCTTCTGAAGGATCCAAGAAAGTCAAATCTTCACCAAGTTTTTCTGTATCGAGAACATGTTGCAGTGTCTCACAGACCCTGCAGACCCAGATCAGCTCTCCAAAGCTGTGCAACAGTGCTGGGTGGTTCTGGATGCGCAGACCCCGCAGTTCTCCTGCAGCACAGGTGGGGGTGCAATGCGCCATGGGGTGAGTGGGGGCAGGGAGCTGTTCGCCGCTTTGCGCACAGACCACCTTTCAGTTCAGAAGGACCGTTTTGTGTAATGCCAGGGAAGACAAAAAAGGCTGAAGGGTGGAGCTGTGCAGTGGAGATAGGACAGGGGATGGACAAAAGGGTGGGGGCCATGCAGAAATGGCAAGGAGCGCTGACCAGGAACAGCTGCAAGTTTAGAGATGAGGCAGATCAGGGTGAAAGACAGCGGGGAGGGGCACAGCAGTCTAACAGAGGGACAGTGCTGGTGGGTCTCTTGCAGAGTCTGGAATAAAACACGGGAGTTTTGAAACGCTTAGCATTTTGCTAAGCAAAGGACTGCATGTAACACATGGCTCTTACCTGCTCTATTCCCCCTCTAGTGGCAGACGCACACAGAACATAAATAGAAGGGCTTCTTTCTCCATTTGTCAGTTTGTTAGTGGGGGTCAGCGTCATGGTTTTATGATTTTTGATTATTGGTATTCTACATCATAACATCACGTAGTGCACTGGGAGTTAAAGAGTTAATGCTCCAGTTCTGGGTACCTGTCCCAGAAGAGCAGAAGAACTACATACCCCAGAGGACTTTGTGTTCAGAGAAGAGAGGAAATCCCTGGCAAAGTCACAGGACTGGGCTCTCCTCCCTTCTGCCCATCCCAACCACATGTCTTGCCTCGGCATTATAGTAAGGCCTTCAGCTTTCAGACACTCTCTCTCATTATATTTGATTTATTACCTTCAATTCTAATTGTATTGTATTGTATTGTATTATAGTGTACTATCTTGCATTCTGATATCTTGTTTAGTAAATCAGTTTGTTTCTCCTCAGATCGTTGCCACTGCTTTGTTTTAGGCCCATTTCTCTATCCTTTTCCCCTTATCCCTTTCCGGGGTGCAGATCCACAGGTCCCTCTGCCCCACTAGTCACGGAACCATGCCAAATCAGCCCATAAACCATTGACTGCCAGATATCAGGGGGGGAGGGAGGGAGGGAGGGAGGGAGGAAGGAGGAAAAAAGGAAAATATGAAAATATTGCATGGGTTTAACTTTTGTAACTCCTTTCAACTTCATGTTAACTCAGAGCCATAGAATATCCTGAGCTGGAATTGACCAACATGGATCAAGTCCAAGTCTTACAATCAGGGAGACAAAACTGTCACAGTCATCCCAGTGGTTGATCTTTCAGAGCCTCATCTAATTTGAGCTGAAGTATAGCTGAAAACGTATGAGTAGGGAAGTTGCTTAAACTTGTGGTGGTTTCTGTAGTTCTAATACACAAACAAGAACATAAACAAACATAAACTGGTCAGGGGCACAGCCACAGGTTTAGCTGCCCAACTGTGACTAGGGAAGAAGACTTTGGTGCTGCCTACTCTGCTTTCTTTTTTTACTCCAGGCTTTCATAAAACTTTTGGTATAATAGAAAGTAAGGTTGTCCTTCAAAGAAATATAGACCTAGTCAAAGCAACTCACAGAGGAAAATGCATGGCACAAATAAGTTACGAGAGTTGGGTATAGGTGAAAACCACTGTTGTGAAAAAGGCTCTGTATAGTTCACAAGTAAGCTTTTAATTTTTTTCAACAGATGGTAGCAGCTCAAAACATGCCTGAAAGGGGCTCTTCTGGAGTGCCTTTGATACCCAGTAAGAAGGCAGTGCACTGAAATCAGCAGCTGAGGAGTCTCTGTACAGTATCATTTTCATGGGGAAAAAAAAAATAGCCTTATTCTTAGAACTACAATAAATTCCCCAATATTCTGAATTTTCAATGCCAGGTTCTACTTAACATGCACCCCTGGACCCATTAAGTCCTGCAAACATTCTTCACCTCTTTTGCAGACTTGGACAAATTATTCTTCAGCTATTGCATTTCTCCTATGAATTGCAAGGGAAATGGCCCAAGAAGCAGCTTCCCTACTTCAGACATCTACATCCATGCTGAAGAGACAAGGAGGCAGACAGTGAAAACCAAGAAGAAAAGGTTGTGGCACTCAGGGGATGTGGGATCAGAGGAAGGCTGATGCTTCATCCTGGAAGTCTCACTGTAAGTAGCCTACAGTAAAAACCACAGTGCAAAGGTAATCAATAGTTCTCGTTTCCTCCAGGTTAAACATAACTGGTTAGATAAAATCACTGTCTGCTGACAAGCTTGGATGAACTGATTTGATTCTTAGTGACCTCTGACAAGGTTCAGCTTTGTTTTACTGTAGTATCAGAAATCAGCGACAAACATTAATCATTAACAAACCTTGCATTAAGAAACCTCATCATACTTTCATAGCATTTCTATAAGTATTTCTGCTTACTACTTTTACTTCCGTATTCATGCCCAGATGAATCACTATACATGCCACAACATATTTAGCTTCAGACCAATATAGATGTGTGAGTACCACCCAGCTGGATAACTTCTGTGCTTGTAATGATCACAGAATTTCAGGTAAAAAAAGTATACTCCATTCTAGGAGAGAAACTATAATTATTGCTGGTAACAGTATTGTAAAAAAAAAACCACATCAACAACAACAAAAGTCTGTGAAAGCATTTACTGACAGAAATTTTTTTCCATACCAAGATGATGACTTTCAAATCACGAAATTTAGAATAGCCTGTCTATTTTAAAATAGTTCAGTAAGTATATCACTGTGTTTTAAAATCATAATAATTGAACTGGGCAGCAAGTAATCAAGAAATTTTGTATTTGAAAACTTCAATTGGTCTCAGGAATTTCTTAAGGAACTTAGACATTTGGCTACCTCGGCAGGTTCCCTTTCCCCTCTTTGCCACTTTTTCAGTTCCCCCCCCCCCCCCCCCATTCCCCGTCTTCTCTTTCTTCCTTTTTCCCTTTTCTTCCCTTTATTTATTTGTTTGTTTACGTGTTTGTTTATTTATTTAAACCAATAAACTTTCACATTCCTGTCAAGCTAATTTATTTTCATTATATGTTCCCTCAGTGTCAGATCGATCACTTTTATTTAAATCCAAATGAAAAATCTACCAGAAAACAGTTCTGCAGTGCCTCATTGCCTGGTATTAGTATCATGTAGAAGTACTTGCCAGTCTTTGCATTTATTGAATATGTAAAGCTCCAGACTGCAAAAAATCAATCAGCATTCCAATCAGTCAAGTTATTCTTCTCAAAAATATTAGTAACTGATGAGGCAAAATAAGGCATTGCTTTCAACTACATCAATTTTCTTTTCTTGCTTTTAAATACTGCATTAGATGATGTGATTAAAACAAGGACCAAAGTCATGTAAATTTTAAACAAGTGTACGTGTATTTAAACTCCTGACTTTAGAACTAGACTGCACTGGCCTAGTATAGATCTTGATACACTGCATAGCTGAGGGGATCCCTGGGGAATTAGTGAAGCCTCATCTAATTTGAGCTGAAGTATAGCTGAAAACGTATGAGTAGGGAAGTTGCTTAAACTTGTGGTGGTTTCTGTAGTTCTAATACACAAACAAGAATATAGAGCAAAGGTGGGCAGTTCCATTTTGTTTGTCCTTTAAACTTTTGTAATGCAAATTTCTGCTTTTGTTTTTTTCTTCAAGATCTATTTGCAGAGAATGCATATCTTTGAGGAAATGTAATGTAATTTGTTGGCATCCTCTTGGTAACACATCTAAAGTGAATTGATGTAGAAATTTGATTCTTGCTAAGAACTTTTACATTTTACATATTGTACTTGCCTCCAACTAATTATAGACTGTATGATTTTAAGTATATGTTTGCAGTTTCTGTCTTTATTTAACATTTTCTTATTTGGAGAATAAAAAATAAAACTGAAATAAACTGAAAACAAATAGGACTAAACAAGGCTAAATGTAAGAGTTTTGACTCTTTCAAATCTGTGTGAGGTTTTTTATTAGTCTGCCTTGAGACCTGCTAATAATGGTGCACACCATTCTCACAGGTCAGATTAGAACTGTTTGTTCCCTCTAACCACATGCTGTTTGTTACTCTCTTCCAGATTTCTATGGAACATATAATTCATTTTTCCTAATGGATGACCAATTTGACCACTAGCTGTAACAAAGCCCTTTTCTTCTGGAGAACTGAATCCACTACTTAAGCCCTACTGTAGTGAGTTGAATCAGAATAGCTGGATTTTCAGGGGCCTAGCAACAAAGTTGCTTGAATGAGGGTGCCTGATGAAATCAATAAGTTACCTTTACAGAGGAATGCGAGTGTGGATGAATGCGGATGGACCCACATGAAACTTACTGAAGTTCTTCCACAGTAGAAATCACACAAGGACTGGTCAGCACAAAAACGTAAATAACAGTAATAATTGTTCAACAAGCTTTTTCATCAATGAGGAATTGAGTCATTAAACATTTATTTTATTTTATTTTATTTTATTTTATTTTATTTTATTTTACAAAACGAAGCAGTGCTTTCATTCTTTGCTGATTACAGTTTGATATCTGCTTTTTCTTTATTCACTCAGGCTTTTGTTTAATTATATGGATATTCTCTTAAAAATACAGTAGAATAAAAACACAAGAAAAAAAATGAAAAATGTATCTGCTGCAGCTATATATAATAGCTATTTTTTTTTTTTTTTCTCAAAATAAGTACTGACTCCATATTGAACATAATATAAATTTGAAGCACAGAAGTAGTGAAGCCTGTTATTAACAAAACAGCATTGGTTTTAAAGGTAAAACATAGGCTAAGCTAAGGAAAGATTATACAAACATTGTAGGACAAAATTCGTCATGGGCTTTTCCATGTAACTCAAATCTCAAGAAAAATAGTTATGAAGGGCATTTTATAATAGTAAGTTTACACCTCCAAAGCAGATGGAGGGAATCTTCTGCATCTCCAGATACACTAAATATAATAAACATCATCTCTATGAAACGTAATAGGAAGTTAATGTTTAATGAAAGATAAAGAATACAGCATCATTCTGATTATTCTCAGAATTACCCAAAATTGGGAAACCATTCTGGCAACTGCAAATCTTTAAGTATTAGCATAGCTTAAAGAGAATAAGGCAACAATTAATGGATGGAGATAATTTTCTGCATTAGCAACATCAAAGCAAAAAGCAGTGTCTACAATTTAAGAAGTCATATAGAAACATCAGTTAAATTTTTTAATTAAGTAATATCTAATGAATATTCAAAACAAAACAGTGACAAAAATGTTCTTCAGAGCATAAATGTCACACTTGTAAAAAGGCCAGTTTTAAGTGGATTAGTGTTTTACTTTAGAAAAATGTCTTTTATCATTGTAAGTCTACTAAAATAAATTAGTATAAACCAAGCTAAGCTAACATTTTCCTGTTATACATTTGTTAAAAAATATGATCTGTACTATTTTACTTAGCCTATGATGTAGAAAAAAATCAGCCAAACATCATAGTCCTCTATATTCACATAAAGACTAAATGCATGCATCATCCCTAAATGAGGATTTTCAGGAGCTCAGCTTCCTTTTGGGATTGTGGAGAGTGTTTTTTAGATACGTTTTTGAACTTTTACCTGCAGGAAAACCTAATTATTATGGAATCTTAATAATGTTTTAATACATTAATTTTGAACTATATGCTGTAGGAGAAAAGCCGAGCACATCCTCACCTGTCTTGTTATTGTTTCTGCAGTAAAAGCCTAAGTAGCCAGTTTGGCCAAGGAGTACATCTGTGACTGAATATTTGGTGTGCTTTGGAACATGTGTGTGAGTTTATGGATATGTCTTATTTCATGGTCCACATTAGTAGAAAATCATTCAACTTCTACAGAAGATCTAGGCCCTTATCTGAAGAGATAACTCATTGTAACTTCAAATACAAACATCAGTAAGGATATGTCAGATGCTTCTATTGTTGTGTGCACAAACTAATTAAATCATGACATATATTAAAAATTTTATTTTTCTTGGAGCATTGTCATCAGTATGGAACAAAATATATGTATTTAATGTTTACTGTTGTTTACTGTCTATGAAAACAAATATTCACTATTGTAGAAATATAGTATGATATGTTCTTGATGATATTCTGGTTCTTATTTTTTCCTTTGATCTCTTTTCAAGTCAGTTGAAATCCACGTCAGGAAAGGAATCTTACAAATTAATGTCACCTTTGAGAAGTATATTTTTCTCTTGGTTATGCCATTTGATTATAAAACAATATTTAGGCAAGTTTACGGTTCTGAAAAATTGCTGTTAGTCTGTAAGGCTGTGTACAAAGCAACAAAAATCAATCAATCAATCAATCAATTAATTTAAGAGTAGAAGTTGGGCAGCCCAATCCTTGAGAGTCCATAACGTTTTAAAAGGAGAAGATAAACAAAAATGGGCAAAATGTAAAAATTAACTGATATAATCTACCTGGGCTTGTGTAAAACTTTTTACACTGTCTTACATGATATCCTTGTCTCTAAATTTGAGAGACATGGATTTGACGTATGGAACATGTCACAGATAAGGAACTGGTGGGATGGTTCCACGCGAAGAACTTTGGTCAACTGCTCAGTGTTGAGGTGGAGCCAGTGGCATTCCTCTAGGATTGACACATGAATATTTAACATCTTTGTTGGTGACATGATGGTAGGACTGAATATACCCTCAGCAGGTTTTCCAGAACCATCAAGCTACATGATGCAGTCAGCATGCTGGAAGGAAGGAATGGCATCTAGACAGATCTTGACTGGACAAGAGGTATTGTGATATGAACTTTATGAGGTTCAACAATGCCAAGTTCAAGGCTCTCCATCTGTGTTAGTGTAATCCTAAATATGAATGCAGGCTGGATGGAGAATGGATTGAGAGCAATTCAGAGGAGATGGACTTGAAGGTGTTGTTTGATGAGAAACTCAGCATGAGCCATCAATCTTGCTTACAGACTGGAAACCTAAATGTATCCTGGGCTACATCAAAAGAGGGATTTCCAGCAGGTTGTGGAAGATAATTGACCATTTCTTTTCTCTTGTGAGGCCCCACCTGAAGTACTGCATTCAAGTCAGGAATCTCTAGCGTAAAGACATGGACCTGCTCAGTTTGGTCCAGAAAGGCCAGGAGAATGATTGGAAACTGAGGTAGCTGTGTTCATTCAGCCTGGAGAAGCTCCAGGGAGACCTCTTTGCTGCATACCTATTGCAGTGTCTAAAAGGGACTTTCGGGAAAGCTGGGGAGAGACTTCTTGGCAGGGAGAGCAGTGATAGAACAGGAGGCAACAGTTTTAAACTAAGAGGGTAGATTTAGGTTAAATGGTAGGAAGAAACTATTTACTACGAGCATGGTAACAGCAGGTTTCAACAAACTCAAAGAAGCAGCAAGCAGACACAGTAGTTTGTGCAGAAGTGTCAGATTTCTGCTAAGAACTTCTGAAGATATCACTGGAAGTTGGAAGTTGTGAAATCTTTCTGGGGGATCCTGAGGAACTGGAGGATGATTACTACAAACTGGAAAGCAGACCTAGGCAAGGACAACTACAGAAGAACTTAGTTTCTCCTGAGAGGAGATCTAGCTAGATACAGTTGCTGCTAACAGTCCTTGATTAGGGTGGGTCAAGCACCCAGTGAGTCAGTCTTAGGCAGAGGAGTATGTAAGAGCCAGGCCCAGAGTGTAGTGAACAGGCAGTGATCACAGCAGTCAGATGCAGTATTGGCACAGTGGGGGAATGCAGGGTGTGTGAAGGTGCTAGAAGGAATCTTGCTCTATTAATTTCCAGCAGCATACACTCATCAGATGCACCGTAGAACGCTTTCCCCTGTAACTTCTGAAGTTGCTGCGTTGACCTTGTCAGGCTTGTACTCATAGAGAAACACTTTTGATTCAGGTGTATGTGTCTCAGGCTGTATCAGGAGTTCTTGGGGCTTCTCTATGAAGTCTGGCCTGTCAGTCATCTATATATGGAAAGTATGCTATTCTAGATAAAGGATGACATAGGATCAGGGAGTTGCAGGAGTAAATAACTCAACCATGTATTTTTAGAGAAGATGAGTGGGAAACATTGTACTCAAGGGGACTATTCACCTTCAGGAGATCCAATTCCTCACACCAGTGAAGTTACAGCAAAGTTTGTGTCATGTGAAATATTGACAAATTCTGAAATGTGATCACTTCATGTAAGAGGAATAAGGGGAGAAAGGCTTCTCCTCCTATAGACTTGCAGTTGAGAAATGGGTTTAGTGCTGTCCAATCTGAGGAGGAAGTCAGTGTGGCTTCAGGAGAGGCAGCTGTGCTGTTTGACCCAGTGCCTTGTGAGAACATCCAAAAGAAGTGAAGAATAGTTGTGGTAATGACTTGCTGTTGCAGGGAACAGGTGGACCTATCTGCAGAACTAGTTGTCGGGAGAGATTCATTGCCTGCCAGGCACTTGAACATGTGACATCTTTAGAAGTTTCCCAAAGCTTGTTTGCACATCAAACTGTTACCTTCTGCTCTTCTTCTATGTGGACACCAATGATACCAAGGGCAAATTGGGAAAAAAATTGGTAAGAAATTGGACTAGATGATCCCAAATGGTCTTTTCCAAACTTAACTATTCTGTGATTCTTGTCTCCTTCAACCCAAGCCATACTCTGATTCTACCTTAAGAATATAGATTTTGATAGTTACATTTCTTCAGACTAAACTGATCCTTTTTGCCATCCTGGATGTGCCTCAAAAATTAAAACAGCTCCCTTTTATGCTGCTCATCTCATAGATGCCCTGAAAATTAATTTCAACTGAACAAACCTGGCACTATTCACTAGTGAAGAGGATGAACACTGTCACCACTAGTTCTAGCACAGTCTCCAAACAAGAATGCTTTACACAGTGACTGGCTTGTTGCTCTAGGCTGTTTGATGTTGAAAGAAGTATGGCAGTCACTACATCCGGTTGAAATTTCAATAGGAAGTTTTGCTTTAAATGTACATGTGCATTTTCACATGCAACATATTGCACTTAAGACAACAATAATGTAGGGGAAAAAAAAAAAAAAATCACGAGATGAAAATACTGCTACACACTGGAAAAAGCAAATAATATGCATTGTCTTGTAGAATAATTGCCTACTACCACTCCTTCATACTTTTTGTATACCAACATATTTTCATGTTTAGAGTGATTATAAAGAAAAGAGAATGAATGAATTAACAAATGAGCAAACTTGGAGTTTACTGAGTGTTGTAACATGTTGTAAGTTGATAATATGACAGTGTACATGACCTACATCTTACAGAAACACAGTAGTAGGTTGCATTATTCCACTGTTTCATGTCACAATTCAGCATGAAAAGAAATTACAGTAAGATTCGTATTACTCCTGTTAGAACAGCCCCACAATTTCTATGGAAGATAGGTAAATAAAGAATTTTGCAACAC